CCTGGACCTTTGACACTCCAAACTGAAAGTCCACAACATAAATCCCAGGTCCTACTTTATTTGAAATATTTCATAACTCAGTAAGATTAATGTGTTTTTGGTCTTAGGTTACCTTGTTTAATTATATTTGAACTGCATGCAATATGTTGTTAAGTTTACAAATATATTGCCAGGCAACCATATAAATGTAGCACTAAACTGTCAGTGTCACTGTGGTATAACATGTATACTAATAAATGATGTAATTGTCTTACAAGTATATTATGAATTCAAATAATCTTTTTTTTTTTGGTATTGGGGAGGGTGTCACTGTGGGTGGGTGTGTTGTCTCAATTATTGGTAATTATACCATTATCTCAGAGCTTAGACTACTTCAGAATCATAGGGGGAAGTGACTTCTCTTTTTTAAACTGACAGGGAGAAGTGGTGAGATATGAAAGAAAAGTGCTCACTCAAGGCGTTACAATGTTGGATTTTTACTATAATATAAAGGGCTATATGTGTCTTTTTGTATATTGTTCAATTCATAGCCGAGTATTCAATTAAAGTAACAGTTCAAATTCATAGCTGTTTAAGTTCATCATATGTTGCACAATTATATTAGTTCCTCTCTTGTTAGAAACTACCAACTAAATATCTAGCACTAATAAAGAAAGAACTTTTTTTACATCAAAAAGAAAAGAAAGTGTGGAATGCTTAATTTTTCCCTTTTGGATCAATATGCTGCTGTCAGATGACTTTTTTGTGTCATTCATTGGTCCGTAGTCATTATCCTTAGAATCCAGATTTCATTCATAGCTGGTCCGTTTCCCGACTCCGATCAGTAGTTTTTTACAAATATTTCAATGGCTTACGAAAAAATTTACAAAAACAATTGATATTTGAAATGCTATATGACGTTTTTAATGCAACAAATGGATTACAAATTTACTTAAGGCAACTTTCATGACTTCTAATGGGTTAACAAACTTATTTTGCCGACAGTTAAAATGGTTTAAAGTACGCTCTCAAGGGGTATACCATGTCAATAGTAATATGGCTTTGAAATGACGATACTGATGGTTCAAAAGGTCGGCAAAGTTAATTTTTATTTTCTTTCAAATCGAAGGTCCGTCGGGCGTAGCAAGTAACCAAAATGAAAGTCTGATTGCAATAGTGGAAGGTCACGGACCTCGGACCACCGCTAATTTGAACCCCTGAAGCAATCTATCTGCATAATTGCAATATTGCTCTTTTATGCTTTGATTTAAACCACTAAAGTCCTCTGGAACATCAATATTAAGATTTTTTCCCGGCGAATCAAAACCATGCCGGGAGGCCCCCCTTTTTTAAGGTAGCTTTTTTTGGCAAAAAAATACATTTTTGGGAAGAAAATGCTGGAAAAAATTCCATATTTTTTTCTACTACTTGTTTTGTATTGGTATTAAGTTGTTTCACAAATAAAATAAGCTCTTTTAGCTGAAAAAAAATTATTGAATAAGAAAATCAGCATTTTGACGTTAATTTTTTAGCCAAATATACACTAAAATTGACACAAAATCTTAAAATTTTGAAGTTGACAGTAAATTTTCAGAGAATTCAGTGACTGTTACTGTGACTTTACATGTTAAAGCACCTTTTTGTCATATATTAATAGAGTTTAATGCAATAAAATTTAAAAAATGGTCAAAAATAAAAAATGTTTTGACAATTTTGAAAATCACAGACTTTTTCAAATTTTTGCGCAGTTATGAAAAAAATTAATGGAAAATTGGAGATTCCTTATGCATGTTTGGTATCATATTAAAGCTTAAATTCTTAGCTTTAAAATGAACCTAATTTCATTGTATTTGGCTGATTGATATTGATCCTAGATGTAATTTTGTTAGGCCTATACCTGCATGAAAATAAATCTATGATTTTGAAAAATCCAAATTTGGACCGAGAACATAAAAATAATCCATTTAAACTCAAAGAGATAGGTCATTACATAAATGACCTAGTCAGACATTACTATAGTGATGTTTTCTCTTGGAAAATGTATTATTTACACTCAAATATTCTCATTATTCAAAAAATTTGGTATATATTTTACAAAAAACCTGTTATTCCAATAAAAAAAAGGATATGTCGAGAACTTAACATATATAAAGATTAGTCCTATAATATAAGACTCCGCAGGTTCATATCATTTACATTCAATGTTTTTTATCAAACCAATTATCCTTTACAAAAAGTTCTCTAGTCCAAATTGTTAATTAAGCACCAACAGAAATCAAGGGCGACTTGTGAGAGCGGGCGAGGCAATGATCCTTCAAAATACTAGTTCATACAACAGGGGTGAGCGAGCCAATTCTCATTCACCAAAAGTTCTCTTGTCCAAGTTGTTTACCATTTAAAGAAATGAATATAGCTAATTGTGAGAGCGGGCGAGGCGATAAATGTATTTCAAAACACGAGTTCATACAACAGGTGTGAGTGAGCCAATTCTCATTCACCAAAAGTTCTCTTGTCCATGTTGTTAACCATTTAAAGAAATGAATAGCTAATTGTGAGAGCGGGCGAGGCGATAAATAGATTTCAAAACACGGGCTCATATAACGGGGGTGAGCGAGGCAATTCTCATTCACCAAAAGTTCTCGTCCAAATTGTTAGGCATCAGCAGAAATGAATTTCTAGTTGTAAGAGCAGGCGAGGCGATAAAATGTATTTCTAAATACGAGTTCATACAACGGCGTGAGCGAGCCAATTCTCATCCACCAAAAGTTCTCTTGTCCAAACTGTTAAGCATCAGCAGAAATGAATTTTGTAGTTGTGAGAACGGATGAGGCGATAAATATCTTTCAAAATACAAGTTCATACAACGGGGGGTGAGCGAGCCAATTCGCATACTAAACGTTTTCTTGTATGTATCAATAGAAATAAATAATAGCTGGCAAGGCAATATTTGTATTGCAATAATCGAGTTGTTACAAAGAATATTAGCAAGTTGTTAGAGAAGACAGTTCAAGAAAGAATGCAATTTTAATCTCTCGGTGTTTGTAGAAACTCTTCAACACTAAATTGGCTCCTTTCTTGACAAGTACAGTTTTTTTAACACTATGCACAAAATTTACAGGAAGGACACCGACAGTGCTGCAAATCACATCCTTCGCATTTCTTTGTATCTGATGTATCTTCTTTGAAATTGTCTACTGTCAATGAATTTACAATTTGACGTCTGATACAAATGCTGGTGTTTTTTATGATATCGCGTATACATTTGTAGGTGGTTTTGAGCGACAAAGTGAAGTTATCATATAAAATAAAACTGAATCCATCCGTCTGCCATCCCTAGCGCATCTGTCAGCTTCTTGCCAGCTTTCTTAGGACAACACTGATTTAGGACATCCTATATGAATAACAAGGCCTATGTCCCCGATGTCCAGTCCCATACCTAATGCGACAGTAGTAATTAAACATCTGATTTTGCTGTCTTACCGTTTATTGATTTACATTTGACCCCAGACTCTGCATTTGACCGCTGAGCTATGCATTAACTGTATAACTATATCTATACATGTATATACATTGTATTAAGATGTCAATCTTTTTTACAAAGCTTGTGCATGGGTACAAGTTTATACAAACAAAGCAAGCAAGCCGACCAAAGCTTTACTCTACAAGCATTATGAAATTAGCTCTAATTAAAATTGTAAGGAGATGTGGTATTGAAGCCAATGAGACAAAACAATGTTATATTAACAAGTTTAAATGAAGTTGATGTAAGCAGTTTATACCATATGGCCTTCCACGAGAGGAAAAAAACGCCGTTATGGCCATCATTGAAAAAAAATCTGTAAAGCACGTAAATCGAGAAAGCTAACTAAATTATTCATGTATACATGTAATGATTGTCACCATTTCCAGCTTTGACCGTTATTTTCATGACACAGCAAAGTTATTTTCTATAACCCTTTGGAGAAATTATCACCATGTAATTCCTGTTATTATCGGGACATAATACTCATTTATATAATCATCCTTTACCTTTTTATGAATACTAAATGGTCGCCTCTTAAGTGTTAAGAAACATTTGATGATAAGCTTCCTTTTCTATTGATGAGGAAATTAGAATTAATTTACATCATTTCATCATTTATTATCATCTTAAAGTCAAAACAAAATTCGTTTTCCAAGGAATATTCTGAAATATGTACAACTGATTTACATTCGGAAAGACCTGCGGAACTTCTCGTACTTGACCCTTTTGACAATTTGAAATGAGGGGGGGAGGGGGGGACAGTTTGAAAAGTGGTTCAAAAAAGGATGTAAACTTAAAACTGTCGAAAACATTGTCAAATTGTCGTTCAAAGTTCCCACAAAAATTTGTTGGGAATCCACTACAAGAAAATGGATGGTTCTCATAAGACTCTGCGGTTCAACATTGATAGTAAAAAAAAAATATCCGATAAAAAACGTTGAATGTAAATGATATGAACCTGCAGAGTCTTATATTATAGGACTAATATAAAGATCAATTAAGACCAATGCAGTCTTTAAGTCTAAATTGGCAATAGTGACTATCTGACCTGTTTTGGTATTCATTATAATGATACATAACTAATTCATCATTTGACTAAATTTATTGAATGTTCTAAAGTTTATATGTTGTCTACTGTTTATTGACTATTGTAGATCAAGTCAAGACCAAGCATACAATATTTGGATACTTAAGGGAGCTACCATTTGATTTATATGGGGAGCTTAAGGATGAAAAATTTTGTCCTGCCTTTTTATTTTTCCCTCTATTCGGTCCTGCCTTTTTATTTTTCACTCTATTCGGTCCTGCCTTTTTTTTTAAAGTTTATCCTGACTTTTTTTTTACATAAATTGTCATCCTGCCTTTTTTTTTTTACTCAAAACTCCTGTCCTGCCTATTTTTTTCAAATTTCATCCTAGCCCCGCCATAAAAATCCCTAAATTGTAAATAAAATTAATCTTTTTTTTTTTTATAAAAATCACAATCAGTTTTGTTTTACCTGGTTCCTGCAATATGTTATTCTTGGAAATGTTGGTATAATAACATCCGTGTTACAGAGTTGACAGATGGAGTTACACTTGTCAATAGGCGTTACACTTATTAGATTAGACGAAAAAAACATATAAAATTTAACTTCTGGTTATCTATCTTGATAATAATTTGTGTTGTCATCTATCTAAAGCACGTGAATAAAGTAAAATCACACAACAATATTGCACTTTGGATGAGTTGGGTAGAAAAGTCACGACAACAACCTAACTTCCGGTTGGTTTTGTTTAATAAATAGAAGTACTCCAGTTGCTCCGTTCGATAGCTTTATTTTGGGAAACTATTATAATAACAGTTTTATTTGACATTCAAATACCAAACCTGTTTTCGTAAATTAGAACATTCTTAAAACTTATATCTGTTATGATTATTTAAAAGAAAAATCTATATGTAATATGAATTGTAACTGAACTTTGTGAAAACACTGTTTATTTTAAACTAAAGATAATGTTATTTATACCGGCGAAATCGTGTCATTCTATAATGGGCATCAAATACGACTTGTACTCTAGAGGCGTATTTAGTGGGGGACAGGAGTCCCGGTCCCCTTTGTGGGAAAATTTGTTTGACTAATAAGTTATTTAGGGATCAGTGAAGCATGACTGGAGCGGGCCCCCTCTTGGCCACTACAACCCCTTTATCAAAATTTCTGGATCCGCCACTGGTACTGCATACATACTTTTATCATCGGTACTTTATATTTTTCTCCTTTGCTTTGTTTTTACTTTTATATTTCGGCTCTGCGCTCAACTTAACTGTTTTTTCAATGTTGCTATCATGAGCACTGTGACATCTTGTTTCACTTAATAATGCTTTCACATTGATATGCATTTTATTTTATTTGCATGTCTTAAATTGTTTACATGAATTGTATATGCCTTTTATTTGTTCGTTGGTAAAAAGATGTACAGAGCTTACATTAAATTTTATAGGTTTACAATGTATCAAATTTTATTTTTCTCAACCTTGTTATGTTTTATAGTCTCACTTATGGGTACTTATTGGTCATCCCTAATGACCAACTTGTTTTTTATTTCTGTGAAGCAGATTTCCTACAAAACATTTCAAAGATAACAAATTGCTTCCCCTAGCGCAGCTATATACGACCGCGGAGGTCCTACCATGTCCTAACAGTTGGGGCAAAAATTGACACAATATTCGCGCTTGGGTCTGAATTTGGTTTGTAATTAAATATTTGACACATAATAGGTTTCTGACAGAGAATAACTGTAGTCAAGGAACTTAGAATTGGTTATATGTTTCAATTTATATTAATTTTTTATGCTTATATGCAATACACTAACTATGCTGTTGCGAATTGACCCCCCTCCCAAAAAAAATACACCCCTTTTGTTTTGCTTTTGTGCAATACACTATGCTGTTGCGTATTGACCTCTCATTTTTTTTTGCTCTTGTGCAAAACACTATTATGTTGTTGTTTATTGACACCCCCTCCCCCCTTTTTTTTGCAAAAATAAATTATATTTAAAGAAATTTTCTTTTTAATTTCTGAAATTTCTGTAATCTAGAATTTTAAATTTAAAATTCCAAATAGAATTTGCAACCATAATTACCCATTTAAATACCAAAAAAAAATTTTAAAACAGCAAGTTCTCTCTTGACAGCTGTATTTTTGACATTTTTACCTGTTATGTCTGTTTGATTTGTTCACACATCGTTGTCAATATAATGGAATTTGATGCGACTGTCATACAAGTGAGAGGTTTAGCTAGCAGGCTCAATTTTCTACATAAGAAAGTGTCTGTACCAAGTCAGAATATGATAGTTGTTATCCATTCATTTGATGTGTTTGAGCTTTTGATTTTGCCATTTGAAGAGGGACTTTCCATTTTGAATTTTTCTATTTTAGTATTTTTGTGATTTTACTTTTTTCTAAAAACAAATTGACAGCAAATTACCTCAAGACAATACAACATTTCATTATACATGATTTAAAAGTAGTGTAAGTGATGTAATTCAAACATAACATTCATGTACTTTAATAAGTAATTGTCCATCTTTAATTCTTAATTTTGAAGTGTTTTGGTTGTGTTGATGAAATAACATGTTGCAAAAAAAAGACTAGATGTGCCAAAACGACACGAATAGCCCGGTCTCAAAAAGTTGAAAATCTGCAATTTCAACAACACATGTAGACACAAACATGATGGTAGTCTCACATATCAATTCTGCTCAAAATCTTCAGGCTTTAAAAAACTCCATTTAACTGTGATTTTCGACCATTTATCAAAGTTCAAAGCCTGTAATTTCAGGAAAAATTAGTGAAGAGGAACTTAACATAAACTTGATCTGTAACTCATCATGGTCAACTCACATACCAAAAATCAGCCCAATATCTAAAGGCGTTTAGAAAAAAACCTGTATAACTGTGATTTTCAACAATTTATCGAAGTTGAAAGCCTGTTATTTCAGCAAAAATTAGCAGAGCGGAATGAAACTCAAACTTGATCTAAAACTCATCATTGTTAACTCACAAACCAAACATCAGCCCAATATCTGAAGGCTTTTAGAAAAAAAGCCTGTATAATGGTTTGTTGCGGAATGACAGAATGAAGGAATGACTGACAAGGGTAAAACTATATGGCCCCAACAACTTTGTTGCGGGGCAATATTTGTTGCAGGACCATACAAAGCTTAATCATGTGTAATTACTAGTTCATAAAGATTAGAAATGTTCTCAACTTGGAAGAAAAACACAGCACTTGGTATCATTCCAACATGAACTGTACAGAAGCTGTTGCTTAATTTGATGAAAAGCCACAACTCTATCTAGCTACTGAGAAGTGCTACAATGTTTATATATAAGCAGCACATAAACAGTAACAAGAAAGGCTGTTAATCTGAACTTTTAGACGACAGTAATTTCAATATTTAAACTTATCAGATTGATGTAGAAAACAGAAACTACACAAGACAAAACAGAAACTGCACTTCCAATCAAGTACACCCTACCCTTACTATGAAATCACATTCTCTCACAGATTAACTCCCTCTCTAAATTCCACTCACAATCATATACCCTCACTCTCTCAATCATTTTATTTTTCTCCCTCCCTTTGACATTCATTACACCTTAACCACCTACCCCTATACCCCTTCTGCTTCGTGTTAAGTCCCTATGAGAAAATTTGGTTAGTAGATGAATAAGATATTATAAGATGTACCAGATATGGAAGATCTTAAATTTTAGAAATGTGAAGGAAATTTAGAACTGATTGATATCAAACATAAATATATGAACCTGAGCCACTTTTAGAAATGTAGTCTTATTTTCTACACATAATGGTCATCATAGCATCCGTACAAACGATTAACAGCCAACTTTACAGAAAGCCAAATTGTGTAATGTAAATTTGAAAATAGAATGCTATTTTGATTGATAAACATTATGGAGGCCAAAAGTATATATCCAACTCTTAATTTTGAAGTGTTTTGGTGTGCTGATTACAAAACATGTTGCAAAATATGAAAAAACATAAATGAAAATTGCCAAATGGTATAAAAATCCAAATAGTTCAAAAACACATAACAAAAAGCCAAATGAAAAATGCCAAAGTTTAAAAATGCCAAATGGTATTTAAAATACCTGTCTGCTTGTACTAGCCAACCGGCCTGTGGGTTAGCTGGACTTTAAGGTGCTAGTTCACCAAGACAAATGCCCACAGTAGGTCACCTATCTTTTCCTTTTGGAGTACCAGTTTTTAAGTCTTTGATTTGACTTGGGGGCTTAACATTATCTGAAAAAAAGATAAAAAAATAAGTCTCCTGTACAAGTTAAAATTTGGTCTTAAAAGTAAATTATTCCATTTGTCCTCCACACCCAAATGGATAAAATAATGTAAAAAGTCCCTCATTTCCTAAATAATTATAAAATGACCTGCCTCAACTTATAAATTTGGATAAAAAACAGTAAAATATTCCCAATTAACATTTAGATAAAAACAGTAAAATATCCCCAATTAAAATTTGGATAAAAAACGGTAAAATATCCCCAAATTAAAATTTGGATAAAAACAGTAAAATATCCCAAATTAAAATTTGGATAAAAACAGTAAAATATCCCAAATTAAAATTTCGATAAAAACAGTAAAATATCCTAAATTAAAATTTCGATAAAAACAGTAAAATATCCCCAATTAAAATTTGGATAAAAACAGTAAAATATCCCCAATTAAAATTTGGATAAATACAAATAAAATACCCATTCCCCTTTAAAAGCATGTTACAGAGCTTCACATGCAGACTGAGCCACCTCACTCTCAGTTTGTTCTTGAAAAACAATAAAATATCCCCAATTAAAATTTGGATAAAAACAGTAAAATATCCCCAATTAAAATTTGGATAAAAACAAATAAAATTCTTTTTCCCCTTAAAAGCATGTTACAGAGCCTAACATGCAGACTGAGCCACCTCACTCTCAGTTTGTTCCAGTAAAAACAGTAAAATATCCCCAATTAAAATTTGGATAAAACAGTAAAATATCCCCAATTAAAATTTGGATAAAAACAAATAAAATATTTTTTTCCCCTTAAAAGCATGTTACAGAGCTTCACATGGAGACTGAGCCACCTCACTCTCAGTTTGTTCCAGTAAAAACAATAAAATATCCCCAATTAAAATTTGGATAAAAACAGTAAAATATCCCCAATTAAAATTTGGATAAAAACAGTAAAATATCCCCAATTGAAATTTGGATAAATACAGTAAAATATCCCCAATTAAAATTTGGATAAAAACAAATAAAATACTTTTTTCCCCTTAAAAGCATGTTACAGAGCTTCACATGCAGGCTGAGCCACCTCACTCTCAGTTTGTTCTAGTAAAAACAATAAAATATCCCCAATTAAAATTTGGATAAAAACAGTAAAATATCCCCAATTAAAATTTGGATAAAAACAGTAAAATATCCCCAATTAAACTTTGGATAAAAACAGTAAAATATCCCCAATTAAAATTTGGATAAAAACAAATAAAATACTTTACAATTAAAAGCATGTTACAGAGCTTCACATGCAGGCTGAGCCACCTCACTCTCAGTTTGTTCCAGTAAAAACAATAAAATATCCCCAATTAAAATTTGGATAAAAACAGTAAAATATCCCCAATTAAAATTTGGATAAAAACAGTAAAATATCCCCAATTAAAATTTGGATAAAAACAAATAAAATACTTTTTTCCCCTTAAAAGCATGTTACAGAGCTTCACATGCAGGCTGAGCCACCTCACTCTCAGTTTGTTCTAGTAAAAACAATAAAATATCCCCAATTAAAATTTGGATAAAAACAGTAAAATATCCCCAATTAAAATTTGGATAAAAACAAATAAAATATACAATTAAAAGCATGTTACAGAGCTTCACATGCAGACTGAGTCACCTCACTCTCAGTTTGTTCCAGTAAAAACAATAAAATATCCCCAATTAAAATTTGGATAAAAACAAATAAAATATACAATTAAAAGCATGTTACAGAGCTTCACATGCAGGCTGAGCCACCTCACTCTCAGTTTGTTCTAGTAAAAACAATAAAATATCCCCAATTAAAATTTGGATAAAAACAATAAAATATCCCCAATTAAAATTTGGTTAAAACAGTAAAATATCCCCAATTAAAATTTGGATAAAAACAAATAAAATACTTTACAATTAAAAGCATGTTACAGAGCTTCACATGCAGGCTGAGCCACCTCACTCTCAGTTTGTTCCAGTAAAAAAAATAAAATATCCCCAATTAAAATTTGGATAAAAACAGTACAATATCCCCAATTACAATTTGGATAAAAACAGTAAAATATCCCCAATTAAAATTTGGATAAAAACAGTAAAATATCCCCAATTAAAATTTGGATAAAAACAAATAAAATACTTTTTTCCGCTTAAAAGCATGTAACAGAGCTTCACATGCAGGCTGAGCCACCTCACTCTCAGTTTGTTCTAGTAAAAACAATAAAATATCCCCAATTAAAATTTGGATAAAAACAAATAAAATACTTTACAATTAAAAGCATGTTACAGAGCTTCACATGCAAGCTGAGTCACCTCACTCTCAGTTTGTTCCAGTAAAAACAATAAAATATCCCCAATTAAAATTTGGATAAAAACAGTAAAATATCCCCAATTAAAATTTGGATATAAACAGTAAAATATCCCGAATTGAAATTTGGATAAAAACAGTAAAATATCCCCAATTAAAATTTGGATAAAAACAAATAAAATACTTTTTTCCCCTTAAAAGCATGTTACAGAGCTTCACATGCAGGCTGAGCCACCTCACTCTCAGTTTGTTCTAGTAAAAACAATAAAATATCCCCAATTAAAATTTGGATAAAAACAGTAAAATATCCCCAATTAAAATTTGGATAAAAACAGTAAAATATCCCCAATTAAACTTTGGATAAAAACAGTAAAATATCCCCAATTAAAATTTGGATAAAAACAAATAAAATACTTTTTTCCCCTTAAAAGCATGTAACAGAGCTTCACATGCAGGCTGAGCCACCTCACTCTCAGTTTGTTCTAGTAAAAACAATAAAATATCCCCAATTAAAATTTGGATAAAAACAAATAAAATACTTTACAATTAAAAGCATGTTACAGTGCTTCACATGCAGGCTGAGCCACCTCACTCTCAGTTTGTTCCAGTAAAAACAATAAAATATCCCCAATTAAAATTTGGATAAAAACAGTAAAATATCCCCAATTAAAATTTGGATAAAAACAGTAAAATATCCCAAATTAAAATTTGGATAAAAACAAATAAAATACTTTTTTCCCCTTAAAAGCATGTTACAGACTTTCACATGCAGGCTGAGCCACCTCACTCTCAGTTTGTTCTAGTAAAAACAATAAAATATCCCCAATTAAAATTTGGATAAAAACAGTAAAATATCCCCAATTAAAATTTGGATAAAAACAAATAAAATATACAATTAAAAGCATGTTACAGAGCTTCACATGCAGGCTGAGCCACCTCACTCTCAGTTTGTTCTAGTAAAAACAATAAAATATCCCCAGTTAAAATTTGGATAAAAACAATAAAATATCCACAATTAAAATTTGGTTAAAACAGTAAAATATCCCCAATTAAAATTTGGATAAAAACAAATAAAATACTTTACAATTAAAAGCATGTTACAGAGCTTCACATGCAGGCTGAGCCACCTCACTCTCAGTTTGTTCCAGTAAAAACAATAAAATATCCCCAATTAAAATTTGGATAAAAACAGTAAAATATCCCCAATTAAAATTTGGATAAAAACAGTAAAATATCCCCAATTAAAATTTGGATAAAAACAGTAAAATATCCCCAATTAAAATTTGGATAAAAACAAATAAAATATACAATTAAAAGCATGTTACAGAGCTTCACATGCAGGCTGAGCCACCTCATTCTCAGTTTGTTCCAGTAAAAACAATAAAATATCCCCAATTAAAATTTGGATAAAAACAGTAAAATATCCCCAATTAAAATTTGGATAAAAACAGTAAAATATCCCCAATTGAAATTTGGATAAAAACAGTAAAATATCCCCAATTAAAATTTGGATAAAAACAAATAAAATACTTTTTTCCCCTTAAAAGCATGTAACAGAGCTTCACATGCAGGCTGAGCCACCTCACTCTCAGTTTGTTCTAGTAAAAACAATAAAATATCCCCAATTAAAATTTGGATAAAAACAAATAAAATACTTTACAATTAAAAGCATGTTACAGTGCTTCACATGCAGGCTGAGCCACCTCACTCTCAGTTTGTTCCAGTAAAAACAATAAAATATCCCCAATTAAAATTTGGATAAAAACAGTAAAATATCCCCAATTAAAATTTGGATAAAAACAGTAAAATATCCCCAATTAAAATTTGGATAAAAACAAATAAAATACTTTTTTCTCCTTAAAAGCATGTTACAGAGCTTCACATGCAGGCTGAGCCACCTCACTCTCAGTTTGTTCTAGTAAAAACAATAAAATATCCCCAATTAAAATTTGGATAAAAACAGTAAAATATCCCCAATTAAAATTTGGATAAAAACAAATAAAATATACAATTAAAAGCATGTTACAGAGCTTCACATGCAGGCTGAGCCACCTCACTCTCAGTTTGTTCTAGTAAAAACAATAAAATATCCCCAGTTAAAATTTGGATAAAAACAATAAAATATCCACAATTAAAATTTGGTTAAAACAGTAAAATATCCCCAATTAAAATTTGGATAAAAACAAATAAAATACTTTACAATTAAAAGCATGTTACAGAGCTTCACATGCAGGCTGAGCCACCTCACTCTCAGTTTGTTCCAGTAAAAACAATAAAATATCCCCAATTAAAATTTGGATAAAAACAGTAAAATATCCCCAATTAAAATTTGGATAAAAACAGTAAAATATCCCCAATTAAAATTTGGATAAAAACAAATAAAATACTTTTTTCCCCTTAAAAGCATGTAACAGAGCTTCACATGCAGGCTGAGCCACCTCACTCTCAGTTTGTTCTAGTAAAAACAATAAAATATCCCCAATTAAAATTTGGATAAAAACAAATAAAATACTTTACAATTAAAAGCATGTTACAGTGCTTCACATGCAGGCTGAGCCACCTCACTCTCAGTTTGTTCCAGTAAAAACAATAAAATATCCCCAATTAAAATTTGGATAAAAACAGTAAAATATCCCCAATTAAAATTTGGATAAAAACAGTAAAATATCCCCAATTAAAATTTGGATAAAAACAAATAAAATACTTTTTTCTCCTTAAAAGCATGTTACAGAGCTTCACATGCAGGCTGAGCCACCTCACTCTCAGTTTGTTCTAGTAAAAACAATAAAATATCCCCAATTAAAATTTGGATAAAAACAGTAAAATATCCCCAATTAAAATTTGGATAAAAACAAATAAAATATACAATTAAAAGCATGTTACAGAGCTTCACATGCAGGCTGAGCCACCTCACTCTCAGTTTGTTCTAGTAAAAACAATAAAATATCCCCAGTTAAAATTTGGATAAAAACAATAAAATATCCACAATTAAAATTTGGTTAAAACAGTAAAATATCCCCAATTAAAATTTGGATAAAAACAAATAAAATACTTTACAATTAAAAGCATGTTACAGAGCTTCACATGCAGGCTGAGCCACCTCACTCTCAGTTTGTTCCAGTAAAAACAATAAAATATCCCCAATTAAAATTTGGATAAAAACAGTAAAATATCCCCAATTAAAATTTGGATAAAAACAGTAAAATATCCCCAATTAAAATTTGGATAACAGTAAAATATCCCCAATTAAAATTTGGATAAAAAAAAATAAAATATACAATTAAAAGCATGTTACAGAGCTTCACATGCAGGCTGAGCCACCTCATTCTCAGTTTGTTCCAGTAAAAACAATAAAATATCCCCAATTAAAATTTGGATAAAAACAGTAAAATATCCCCAATTAAAATTTGGATAAAAACAGTAAAATATCCCCAATTGAAATTTGGATAAAAACAGTAAAATATCCCCAATTAAAATTTGGATAAAAACAAATAAAATACTTTTTTCCCCTTAAAAGCATGTTACAGAGCTTCACATGCAGGCTGAGCCACCTCACTCTCAGTTTGTTCTAGTAAAAACAATAAAATATCCCCAATTAAAATTTGGATAAAAACAGTAAAATATCCCCAATTAAAATTTGGATAAAAACAGTAAAATATCCCCAATTAAACTTTGGATAAAAACAGTAAAATATCCCCAATTAAAATTTGGATAAAAACAAATAAAATACTTTTTACAATTAAAAGCATGTTACAGAGCTTCACATGCAGACTGAGCCACCTTGCTCTCAGTTTTCCCTTAAAAGCATGTTACAGAGCTTCACATGCAGACTGAGCCACCTCGCTCTCAGTTTTCCCTTAAAAGCATGTTACAGAGCTTCACATGCAGACTGAGCCACCTCACTCTCAGTTGGTGCAAAAAATATTTTGACTGAGCCATCGCACATCAGTCAAACTGAGCCACCTCACTCTCAGTTTAACGTACCAGTAAGAATGGATACTTGATACGTATGACGGGGGACGTTCCTATACCTAAAAGGGAGGTATAGTATCTGTGAACCCCAAACACAGAGCGCGGCTTAACTTCGTCATACGTATACACAAGTATCCAATGCTAACTGACACATAACGTTGTCGTGTTTTTCATGTCAGTCACTGAAAATAATTTTTAAATGTTACAACTAAAATAATAACAAAAACCTTGATTCCAAGTTGCCTGTGGTAGGAAGTGAAATAATATCAAAAACCTTGATTCCAAGTTGCCTGTGTTAAGAAGTGAAATAACTTCTCTGTAAAATATATCTAGTTTTGAAATTCTTGATGGTTTTCTTAAGGATTGAAGAACATGTGGCATTCCGGTAAACACAGTGTGACAGCAACTCAACTATAAAGTAAAACCAGAAAGATATGAAAATGTAAAAAGTTGAGGTCTGGAGCTGGCATGTCAGTAACTGCTAGTAGTCTGTTGTTATTTATGTATTATTGTCATTTTGTTTATTTTCTTTTGTTTCATATTCTGACATCGAACTCAGACAACTCTTAAACTGAGTTTCACTATGCGTATTTTTGTGCGATTTTTTTTTTCTACAATGGCTAGAGGTATAAGGGGAGAGTTGAGATCTCAAAAAAACAACCCGGCCACAATTTTGTGCCTGTCCCAAGTCAGGAGCCTCTGGCCTTTTACTCTTGTATGATTTTCAATTGTAGTTTCTCGTGTATAATTAGGAGTTTAGTATGATGTCCATTATCACTGAACAAGTATATATGTTTAGGGGCCAGCTGAAGGACGCCTTAGGGTGCGGGAGTTTCTAGTTGCATTCAAGACCCATTAGTGGCCTTCGGCTGTTGTCTGCTCTATGGTCGAGTTGTTGTCTCTTTGACACATTCCCCATTTCCATTCTCAATTTTAGTCTTTAATCATTACTTTTCAAATTATGACTTGGATTGAGAGTTGCCTCATTGGCACTCATACCACATATTCTTATATCTATTTAACAATGAATTGTTCTTAGGTTATTATATGGAAAGTCATTTTACTATTTATTCGAAATTCAAGATATCTCATATAATATATAAGATATGTTATATAATATATAAGATATCTTATCTAATATATGATATCTTATTTAATGTATAAGATATCTTATTTAATATATAAGATAGCTTATAATTTCATTTTTATACAATATCTTATATATCAAATGAGATATCTTATATATCAAATGAGATATCTAATATATTATATAAGATATAGATATCTTATATATTATATAAGATATCTCATAAAGTATATAAGATATATTATATACTTTATAAGATATCTTCTGAATTTTATTAGATGTCTCATATAGTTTAAAAGATATTTTATAAATTTTATGAGATATCTTATAAACTATATAAGATATCTTATGTAATATGTGAGATATCTTATAAAATTATATGAGATATCTTATATAGTTAATGAGATATCTTATATAGTTTACAAGATATCTTATATAGTTTATAAGATATCTTATATAGTCTATTAGATATCTTATATAGTTTATAAGATATCATTGGCATTTAAGGATAGTTATTCTCATTGGCAACCCTTCCATATATCCTTATTTTTTATATGGTTGAGAGGTAAATGTAGTTTCCTGTGTGTATAACCGTGCATTGAGTTGCACTTTCAGGCTAAAAATAGACTTGATAAATTTCTGGCAGCACATCTATCAAGAATTAGCATATGACAATTTATTCTGTTATAAGTTTCAAGAAAGAAAATAAAAATTTGTCTATCTTTTATGTTGTTTTTGTTTATTCTAAACATATAAAACATTTTCATAATTCATTTAAATGAGCAAAAATTCTTCAATTCATACCAAGAATGTATCGTTTCAAACAAATTCTACTGAAATCTGAAGAATACCGTACAAGTTCTTCAAGTCTTTAATTGCATACAAATGTTTGTCACAGACTATTATCTGCCTTGTAAGTGTTCATATGAAAAATACCACATTTAGGTCATACAAATGCTAGTCCAGATAACATCCATGTAGTCTTTGAATTACTTGATTATTGTCTCATTTCTGTTAAGGCTTCACTTCTAATACAATTGACTTTATTCAAAGATGACGTGTTGACAACTCCTCTTCAACCAAATTGCTTGTTCTGAACTTCTCTCAACATACTGAAAAGTAAAAATAACATTTATTATCCCTAAAGTATGCATGTTTGAGTTTAAGCAGCCATTCATGTAAAGTTTAGTTTGATCAATTTTGAATTGGTAAATGATTATAAAAAAGATGTGGAATGATTGCCAATGAGACAAATCTCAACAAGAGACAAAATGGCACAGAAATTAACTACTTTAAGTCAGAGTACAGCCTTCAGCAATGAGCAAAGCCCATGCCACATGGTCAGATATAAAAGGCTCCAAAATTAGCATAGTAAAATAATTCAAAAGAGAAAACTAATGGTCTAATATAAGTACAAAATAAGGAACAAAAAACAAATATATGACGCAACCACAAATAACTACCACTGAATTACAGGCTCCTGTCCTCAGGGACAGGCACATACATACAGAATGTGGTGGGGTTAAACATGTTAGCGGGCACCCAACCATCCCCCAACCTGGAACAGTGGTGTCAATGTCATAAACAAGCTTCTGTCCAAGTTTGGTATACGTCCAGGTTCTTTAAAGAAAGTTATTCAAATTTTTAAAACTTTAACCACAGAGTGAATGTCCATAATGTTAACTGGCAGAAAAAATTTGTAAGGGTTCCGCAGAACCCAGTGTCTAGCCTACTTTTGCTGTTAATCACACACTCGATAAAAAATTATGAAAAAAACAATAAAAATATTCCTCTCGATACCATCTTTTGATTGTCAGAAGCTTCTGTCAAAGTTTGGTAAAAATCCAGGTTAGTTTAAAAATCTTAAAAATGTTTTAAAAACTTTAACTGCAGACATAACTATTGGTTTATAAAAATTTTAATCAAATATCGTCTTATAATTAAGCCTCATTTAATTTTACAATTAACTGGAAGAAAAACTAAGTCCATTTATAAGTAAAATACAGGAAAGATAGATATTTTTTTTACAAAATTTACATCTGGATACTATCTTATGATTAGAAACATGCTTCTGTCCAAGTTCGGTACAAATTCAGGATAGTTTAAGAAAGTTATCAAAATTTTAAAAACTTTAACGACAAAGTGAATGTAATGTTTCCTTGCAGAAAAACAGTCCATTTATAAGTAAAATACGGAAAAAATGGAATTTTATTTTTACAAAATTTACTTCTGGATACTATCTTATGAACATAAACAAGCTTCTGTCCAAGTTTGGTAGAAATCCAGGATAGTTCAAAATTAAAATTTCAAAAACTTTAACCACAGAGTGATTATTTGTGGCCGCCACCGCCGACACCCGACGGAATGTAGGATCGCTGTCTCGCTTTTTCGACTAAAGCTCGACAAAAACTAAGTTTATTTATTAGTAAATTACAGATAATAAACAGGATTTTTTTTTACAAAATTTAAGGCTAGTTTAAGAGAGTAATTAAAATTTCAAAAACTTTGACAACAGAGTGAATATTTGTGGGTGAAGCTGATGACAGAATGTAGGATCGCTATGTCTAGCTTTCAATTCATTGGAAACAGTTTTAGTTTACACAATATCTTATTTACTTTATAAAATTGGTACTGCTAATGTTATTGTTCAGCTTAAATAGATATAAGAAGATGTGGTATGAGTGCCAATGAGACAACTCTCCATAAAAGTCGCAGGCCTTGATTTATAAAAGTAAATCATTATAGGTCAAAGTACAGTCTTCAACACGGAGTCTCGGCTCACACTGAACAGCAAGCTATTAAGGGCCCCAAAAATTACTACTGTAAAACCATTCAAATGGGAAAACCAACAGTCTAATCTATATAAAAAACAAGACACAAGAAACTCTTATGAACCACATCAACAAACAACAACTGTTGAACATCATATATTTCATTTAATTTTTATATATATTATTCTGAAAAACTGGTGAAGACAAGTTTACAAGATATCTTTAAAAAAAATAATAATAAGATATATAAGTTTAGATAAGCAAGATTTTTTTTTTATACAATAAGTTATCTTTCAACCTAAAACAGATAATGAGTAAAACTAACACAGATACCTCAATAAGATGTTAATAAGATATCGTATTTACTATATAAGATATCACATCTTATATATAAGATTTATCTTACCTCCTATACATTTCTAGGAATAAGATTGGTTATAAGTGTCCACGTGGAGAACTGGTATATTCCATATTAGGTTAGTAGGGAGGCGGGGCTTATTTCAGTACATGTTTAGTAGAGAAGTTACGACTTTGGCTCTATTTGATTATTTAAATGTATTTAAATTTAATCTTAATATTTTAATAAATTGTTATTGTTGACATTAGTTTTTTAATGCAGACTAATGAAAGTAGGTTCTTAGAATTGAACACTTGAACACTTTAATATAATAAACAGCTGCGCCATGAGCGCATGATACGCCCTGTCGTCTTGTGTGAGAAGTTTTATGCAATAATCATAAATAGTTTCTGAGATACGGCGCGACATGTGAAAAAAATTTTTTTTTTACAAAAACTTCAATAACTCTAAAATAAAATTTTGAATCATCACCAAAAAATATACAGATCTTTAGATTAATATAACTAAGAAGTGTGTAAAGTTTTAAGCAATAGTCATTAATGGTTTTTAAGATATGATGCAACATGTGAAAACCCCCCTCTTTTTTACAAAAAACTCAATAACTCCAAAATAAAATTTTGAATCATCACCAAAAAGTATACAGATCTTTAGATTAATATAACTAAGAAGTGTGTAAAGTTTTAAGCAATAATCATAAATCGTTTATGAGATATGGCGCGACATGTGAAAACCCACCCCCCTTTTTTACAAAAAACTCAATAACTCTAAAACAAAATTTTGAATCATCACCAAAATGTATACAGATCTTAAATTTGGATTAATATAATTAAGAAGTGTGTGAAGTTTAAAGCAATAATCAGAAATCGTTTTTGAGATACAGTGAGACATGTGAAAAATACACACCCCTGTTTTAGTTATAAAGTCCTGTAACTCAAAAAGTTTAAATCCTATTTTAACCAAATTTAGACCATCATAAGAAAAAACCATTTTAAGTTTCATGAAATTTGGATAAGCGGTTCTCAAGTTACGGTGCGACTTGTGGACGCCGGACAGACAGACAGACGGACGCCTGACATTTGTATACCATAATATGTCCCGTCAAAATTTTGGGCGCATAAAAATAAGGTGTTGTTGTATGATTGCACATGATATAAAAAAGAAGATGTGGTATGATTGCCAATGAGACAACTCTCCACAAGAGACCAAAAATGACACAGAAATTAACAACTATAGGTCACCGTACGGCCTTCAACAATGAGCATAGCCCATACCACATAGTCAGCTATAAAAGGCCCCGAAATGACAATGTAAAACAATTCAAACGAGAAAACTAAGGGCCTTATTTATTTTAAACCAGGTGCTCTGCAGGGCACAACTTTATGCGACCGCAGAGGTCGGACCCTGAACAGTTGGGGCAAGTATGGACACAACATTCAAGCTTGATACAGCTCTGAATTTGGATCGTGATCAAATTTTTAACATAAAATAGGTTTCTGACACAAAACAAATGTCAAGATCTTACAAATCTATTGTGCAATATTGTGCAATTAAAGATTTCTTCTTGAAACTTTACAAAAATTTGAAATTTGAGAAATTTTGAGAAAAAAAAATTGCAACCCCCCAAAACTTTTTGAATCCCCCTTGGAGCAATTACCCCAAAACTCGATCCCAGCCTTTCCATTGTAGTATATGGAACCTTGTAGTACAATTTCTGTGAGATCCAAACACTTAAACACAAGTAATTGTCCGGAAACTAGAAAAATGCTTGTTTTTAGCCCTTTTTTGGCCCCTAATTCTTGGATGAATGGGGCAGTAACCCCCAAACTCAATCCCAGCCTTCCTTTTGTGATTTGGAACTTTGTGGTACAATGTCAGAGAAATCCATACACTTACACACAAGTTATTGTACAGAAACTACAGAAATGCTTGTTTTTGGCCCATTTTTGACACCATAACCCCCAAAATGAATCCAATCCTTCTACTTGTGGTAATAAACATTGTGGTACAATTTCAGAGCAATTGAAATACTTAAACACAAGTTATTATCCTGAAAGTAGAAAATGCTTGTTTTGGCCCCTTTTGGGCCCCTAATTCCAAAACGGTATGGACCATCATCCGCAAAATCAATCCCAACCTTCCTTTAGGGGTATTGAATCTTCTTATTAAATTTCAAAGAGATCCATTAACGTAAACTAAAGGTATTGTCCAGACACCAAATGTGTCTTCGGACGATGCAGACGAAGACATCATACCATTATACGACCCCAAAAATGTTTTGCAGTCGTATAAAAATGAACAAAAAACAAATATGTAACACATAAACAAACGACAACCACTAATTTACAGGCTCCTGACTCCTGAGACAATTCTAGTCTTAATTTAACAATTAAAGATAGTCGGTAAGATAAATTTGTTACCTAGTGTGCTAGTGACCTAATACGATATATACAGGGTCAGTAAATTCTAAATCAGGGTTCAGGCATTCACACTCACCCCATATGGAATTTACTGACCCCATATATATCATATGATGTTACTAGCACACTATAATTAATAATATCATGTAATATACAATATATATCCTATTTAGTTTATAAACATGATAACATATCTCAATTAGTTTATAAATTAAACATGGATAATTTTCAAGTCAAGACACTAAACAGAATGCAAAACCTACCATGTATGAGGTACAAATGTCCTGTGTACACAAAACTCAGGAACCCTGGGATGTGGTACTACATCATATACAATACTGGAAAAGTCAGGTTCAATATCTGCAATAAAAACATAATCATAACTGTTGTGGCTAAAAGTTTAATTAATTTGTTTATACGTACAAGTTATAATCCCAAAAATGTCTTAACATACAAGTTATAATCCAAAATATGTCTTAACATACAAGTTATGCCTTAAAACTTTTCCAGATGCACAGGTTTGTTTGTACTAAAGAGTAAATTTTAAGGTGAAAACACAGCCATTTTAGCCATAGGATCCACATGAACTTTACGATAAATTTAGATATTGCAGTCAGGATTCTACTTCGTCAAAATTATCTCCCCATTATGCCAGTTTATTTTTACAATTGTTGAAATGGAAGCCATTGTAGGGATGACGCGCTGCCGATTTAGCTCTTGAAAACCGATAAATTTATCCACCTAGCACCATAAAGATCCTTATTATAATAATGTCAGTTGTATTTTAAAAGACAAATGTATCTACTAGCTATAAATGAGCATCAGTTAATGTTCTTTTAACATCCAACTTAAAAGACTGTCGTCAAGTACTTTTAGTAAAAAAATAACTATTAGAACACACCTACTCTGTTTTTGTGATTCATTAGAAAGGTATTTCACTTGACCCATATATTTCATCTTTTAGTACTACCGGTAATTTTTTTATGTTATAAAGTCAACCTGTAGCCTTAATATATAAAAATGATATAATCTGAAGCGAGATCACGTATCAAATGCTCTTGCTTAATATGTTTTCAAGACAAAATATTCAACTCAAACACACCCTATCATAAAAAGGTGCACTTGATTTTCTCTTTTCGATACAATTGTTACCCATTTTTTGGATTTTTTTCTTGAGTCACATAACGGAAGGGCACACACGAAAATTACTGACCTAATAGATTGATAAGTTCTCTGTCCGTGGTAATTTTTTTTTCAAATCGGAGGTTATGCATTTTCTACATCCAACTTGATAGATACCCATGTCGTCGACTTGATATCTAATTGTTCTGCTTAACTATGTTAAAGATAAATTGAAAACTCATGCAAATGGTGTTTTTAAAATAAAACACTTCGTAATTGAGCAGAAAATTGTCATTTTATTTGTTTCTATTAACTTTTAAAATTTTTGTTACTATAGTAAACATAACAGTAAGCATTTATCGCCTTCTCAAACAAAGAGCTTCTATTCTTTTGTTCTATTTCAACCGGGTTTCCGCCTGATTGGTAAAAACAAATATAAATATGGACCAATTCAAGTAGTCACCTTCTAGGGTGTGCTCCACTTTAGTGACTCAGCAATTTTTTTTAGAATTTAAAGGTTATTTAGGATTTTTTGGTAAAAAATAAATGCTAGCAAATCTTAAAAAAACAAGTGAGTATTCTATGTTTATAGTTTTATAACAAAAATCTATGTATTAAAGTCTGGATTTTACAAAAATCTTGATTTTATTTGCCACAAAATCCTCTATTTCCATTAAAGGGGTCATATACCTTTACAAATATTTCATATACATCTATGTGTTTAAACAGGCCAAGACTAACCATTAATTGGTCAGTGAATTGTATCTCAATTAAGGTATAATTCATCCATTGACATATAATGTGGTATAATTTAATGCAGTTTTTATATAAAAAAAAACATTAAAGAAATATTGTAAAATGAATTAATTCATACATTTCTCCACCATTGATGTAATTGATTCAATAAACTCCACAAATTAATTGTTATTCCTGACATGTTTAATCTTTAAAATATCTGGAATCATTTATTTTGATCATTTATACAATAAAATCACATTAGTATATATGTTGAAAAAATTATGAGATATTACAAATGTAATAATAGAAAACTGACCTTTTTTTTATATATAAAATCAAAGACGTCCATTAAATATGAATACAAATGATATCAGCACCACTCAGTTCAAGATATAAGCAAATTCTAACCAAACAAAAGAATTTCCCTCCAAAAAAAAAAAGACATATGACTCAATGAACCAATCATTATAAAGAAGAGCGAGTTGTCATACCCCAAACTTTTTAAAAAAAAGCTAAGGGGTTATAACTCATTGATCCATGAAGAAGTTTAACAATAAACATAATCACTAGTGCATGACTAACAACTACTCACTAAGTAACTTAGAATTAAAAATATTAACTCATCAGATATATTACTTAGAACATTGTTAAAGAATTAATAATTGTTTACCTCTGCTAGTCTGCATAGAAGTTTATTCACTGGAAGTTTTGGAAGTTTCTTGTGATATGGGGCAATTCTGAATCTAAAAAAAATCAAATATAATTATTAAAATTTCTATGATGGAAAGTGCAAAAATATTGCATACAAGTGCTATGTAATACCAAAAGCTAAGCTTTAATGGTTATTATGATAAATTCCATAGCTTATTAGTACTACTGCTTATAAATTGGACAAGCCAGTTTATATATTAATCATGTTACAAGTGTGGACACAGATCAATGTGGATAGTGTTTGAATGTTTGACATTTTTTTCTGACAAAGAGACCTCTCAGGGGTTTTTTCCACAGAGTTTTATATTTAATGTGTTGCACAATGACAGCCAACCTGAGCCAAACACTACACATTAGCAGTATTTTTAATTTATCATTTAGTTTAAATGGTCAAGACTGTCATGGAGGAGAACCTAATTGCAAACACATTATGTTTCTTTCGGCATTATGATGTGATTTTTTGTATGGGAGATGGTATCTTGAGAGCATGCATGCATGTACTATTTATGTTACTTTGTGGTTGATCTTCGAATTCCCAGTATCATTAGTAAAATATTTCATTTAAATGTCAAAATTGTTTCTCAGATTAGAAAAAAATTAATGGTTTTAAGTAATGACAATTCCTTACATGATGCTTGGATGTAGATGAGCTAGAAAGTAAACTTCTGTGTTATTTTTTATAAGTTCTTCGAAAATGTCTTCTCCAAAGCATGGTCAAAATTTTTTTTTTTTTACCAGTATGCAATTGATATCAACAAAAGACCCTTTGTGAGCAAGCTTCAAAGACTCATATTTGCTGCAAAATTCAACTGATGAGATTTCTAGTGGTTATGAAAATGTCATTAAAATTTCTAATTATCTAAAAGTTCTAGTATTCAAAATGAAAAAGGTACTGCAAAAATATTCTTGTTTCCAGGCGCATAGCTATGTTTACGTCAAAACGCCCGGCGTACACTTGAATTTTGGTGAAAAAAATTTATTTTAATCTAAATGAATTAAAATGAAATGGTTAAAAGCACATCAGCTTTGTAAATCTTTCTTCAGACAATAGCTTTTAATTGCAAATAAAAGTGATGACATTCACTTTTCAATCAAATGGTACTGTGTTATATATTTGTTCATTTTCTGTCAAAGTCTGAATCTACTGTGAATTCTACTAACTTTCCTTTGGTTTAATGCATTTCATTATCTGCTGAGATTCGATATGTGGTTTGCATTTTTATGGAGCCTAAACCATTTATGTCGCGAAAGCGAGACATAGCGATCATAGAATTCATTGACGTTGTCACCATTTAGGTTTAGTATTTGGTTCAAGATTTTTTTAAATATCATTGTCCTTGTCAAATCTTCATGAAATTTTACGAAAGTTGGACAGAAGTTTTTGTGATCAAAAGACTTCAAAGAGTATCAAGAACAAGTGATGAAATAGTATTTTTAATTTTCCCGTATTTTGCTATTGAAAAGGAATTTCTTTTTGAAATTAACAAGTAGATACAGCTGTCTGGGGTAAAAGTTTATAATACAACAATTGCTTTGTCAAACCTACATTGAATTTTATGAATCTTTGGCAGAAGCTTTTTTATGATTAATCAAGGGCGTTTCCAGTATATTTGAAAGAGGGGCGGAGAATGAAAAATTTTTGGAACCTTATTTTTTGCCAAAAAACATCAAATAAATGTAACAGTTCCTGACTTGGAGCATGTATATTTTATAGCTAAAGTGTCAGGGTTTGACATTCTTTATGCCAAATTCTCCCATTATCTTAACAGCAGGAGACCAATAAAGAGAAATTCTAAATCCTACCGTTTATGGCGTTACTTAACTTTTCAATAGTCTCAGGCCAAGATTTTATGAATGGGAGGCGTAATTACAGTTGCCCTGGTAGAGGGTCCATTGGGAAGCTCAGAAGCTCCTGGGTTTCAACAATCTAGCATTAAATTATGAAAAAGCCAGACTATAAATATCTCTCTATTTTAGATTAGGGTCTGGTTTCTTTGAACGACACATGATACAAGACAAACAAACACTGAAATATAAAGTTCGTTCCTTCTAAATATTGTAGGCTTTAATGTGGAACACATGATTGAATATGGAAAATTAATGTCATTGTACAACAGTACTAAATTAAAGCAATCATGTCACTGTCTAGTTCCGATAGGTGGTATATGGTACATGAATAAATATGGGGCTTGAACTTGATGGCAAAATGTAGGTCCGATGATGTCACTTAGCTATATATAGTTACTCACTAATAGATATTGAAACAATATGATACTACCAAAGGCTATCCAGATTGAGAAGTAAAAATGCTATACCAAATATACAAGTTACTAGTATAAATGTACATTAACGCAAAACCTAAAATGAACATGAGGTCAGTCACTGCTGGGCCCTGATTTTCGATAAATGGTTATTCTAGACTGGATTCGTTAGAACCATTTTATGCTGATCTCTCATGGTGTAATCGTCAATTATTTTAATACCATAATCTGGTTTAATGTCTCTGTGATTCTGAATTAATATAAAAAGAAATCAGATGACGATATTATTTTTAAATTCTGAAAGTTTTAGTTTTTTTCATTTTTCAGTTGACAGACGGACTAATCTTTTCGCAATTAACAGACAGTCTGGGATTATTATTTTTTACATGATAAATTTGAAAACCTTTAGAGTTTTACACTGGTAATTTTTGGGGCCCTTTATAGCTTGCTGTTCCGTGTGAGCCAAGGCTCCGTGTTAAGGCCGTATTTTGACCTATAATGGTTTACTTTTATAAATTGTTACTTGGATGGAGAGTTGTCTCATTGGCACTTATACCATATCTTCCTATATATGCTTGCTTGCTTAATCCTGTTGCGCTTCTGTTCTTTGCTAGCCTCTCCAGATCGTGCCACTTGTACCCTTCTTTCTCCATCTCGGCTGCAACATTCCTTCTCCAGGTGTATCTTGGTCCCAGGCGAGAACTAGGATTCCATGGATCCCTTGACGAATTTTCATAATACATCTATGAAAATTAACTACTTCATGTCATTAACGAAATTTGCACAAACAAAGGGTCTTGATCGAGTGCGGCTCCCTTTATCATACTTGCCAACCTCTGGCAATGAGAAATCATGTCATGACATGACATGACATGTTAAAAAGCGTGTGAAAACGCGTGACGTAGATGCAGACTTTTTCATATGAACAATGTTCATAATTTCACAGTAATCATTATACAAATTTGTTAATATAATAAACAATTAAGAGTCTACTGTAAGTTTTTATTGAATTCAACTGTTGCTTTTGAAGCAACATCACTAGGCACATATATATTCAAAACAACTGCCAGTTTGGTTACATTTACTTGATAACAAGGCACAATTGTCAAGTTCTGATCAGAATTCAGTGTAATTTTATTTATAATTGAAAATGCTCTCTCACAGTCAGAATTGGTATTTGGCTGAACTAAAATAGCTTATCAAGCTTTGAACAAGTGTCATAACAATTTTTTTTGCCATCTAAAATGTCATCTTTAATCACTGCCTTTGCTTCCAACAAACTTATATGTTGCTATTGCCTGGTCAACACTGGGTAGTTCATCAGAAGACAGCTGGTACTATGAGAACTGATCCAACAGTACAGTGATATTTCCATCTCCTATGACCTGTTGAAATCTGTTGGCCAGATTTGAAACTGAAAAAGAAAAATATTTTATAATTTGATTACCAAAATGAGTCCATTATTGATTAAACATGTTAAATGCCTAATCAAATAGCTCCATTGTTGTTCTCCTCTCACATGTTTTGTTATGATTGCAACATGGGTGCACAAATTATGCGTTACTCGTCCCTTGATCATTTAAACTCGAACTCCCAAATATAATTTATAAATCTTGAATCTTGGTACGTACACATCGTTTTCGCTTAGCAATCTTATCTATAGACGACGGTACAGGCCCTGAAAGCAACCTCTTTCTATGGACATTTCCCCTAAGTTAATTTGAAAGAAAGAGTGTCACAAAATTGTAAAAACTAATCACAAACTACTTACCTTAAGGCGTTTTGCTGTTCGTCCATCATGATAGAATTTTTAAAAAACAATGGCTACCAAACAATTACTTCGGAATTCTTGTTATTTTTTGTCTAATAACGGAAAAACCAAAGAATTGCAATATCACTAACGACCAAAAAATCAAAACAACGAAAAAGCATGTAATTGCGTGTAAAGTGGTGAAAAGCGTGTACACGCCATGTGACAAAATCCTCGCGTGTAAACCGTTGAAAAAGCGTGTATTACACACGAATATCATGTCACTTGGCAACTATGCCCTTTATACATATTTTAAAGTAAAAGGTTTGGACATTTTCACTTAAACCAATGACCACTAGATACCAAATTAACACAACATGAATAAATTAAGCATAAGAGATAAACAAATTAGACTCTAAAGTATGTTGCTACAATGTATTGATGAGTTTTTAATGACAGAAATGGTATCCCTTTCTCCATAACTCGTTTGCCTTGAACCCACTACCAGTGGATACTTTAACTGGACCCGATTGGGGCCCAGAAACCCCTTGCCGAGGTTTGGGCATACACTTGAAAATAGCCTAGCTACGCCACTGGTTGCAAGATAATTTTGTTGTACGGATACAAATGCAAGTGATACCTGTACAGTGAGCTAGTTTTGTTGTGATATAGTGTTTCCTGTAGCTTTTGAAAAGGACATGGTAATTTTTTTCTCACACTTAGCGCTTTTGAATACACTTTAAGGGCACCCTAGCTTTGCACTGAGGACTACAATTTATTTTTAGGGCACTTTTACATTGATATTAAAGGTACTGTAATGGATAGGGATTTAATTGAATATACCCTGTTCCGTATTTATTGGTAAGACATAATGAAAGACATGTGTATAAGTAAAATTGTTAATTAATTCTTTTTTTGTCATAAAATGATCACTTCTAGACTCATCTAATAAAATCTTGATCATGTTCATTGTGCAATGGCCTAATTTCAATCCATAACTCTAGTTATAAACTTTAATACTTGATCACTGAGACTAATTGTTGAAGGATGTATGTGTTGTGAAAGTTGACTTTGCATAACCAAGAGCATATGCAATGGCCAATGTTTTGCTTTTTAGATGCACAAAAGAAGTGCCAAATATCTTTTCTACTGATGCAGGCAAGGGATGCAGGTTATTTTCTTGTTTTGGCGTGAAATATTCTTACTCCTATTTCTTGACATAATAAAATTTGTATAGAATTGAATTTTACTAAAGTTCAGCATAAATAAAAGTAAATATGCAGAAGCATGACAATATATTTATGATCAAATGTGTTTACATTTCTGTAAAAGAAGTTGCCAGTATACTTCATTAAGAACTGCATTTGAGTGAATCTGTTTAACCATGGTTGAACCCGGGGCGAAGTTCAACATGTTCAACATATTTACGGAAATTTTTGTGTTGCCATCTATTTTTACTGCAGGTTTTAACATATTTAAATCGAAATTATAGAAAACAAGAGGCTCTCAAGAGCCTGAATAGCTCACCTGTTTTTCAGAGGAGAAGATTTTTAAATGTATGTTAGCAAACTTGATGAACAAATTGTGAAAAATTGTCTTTAAAAGGCAATAACTCCTTAAGGGGTCAATTGACAATTTTGGTCATATAACTTTTTTGTAGATCTTACTTTGCTGAACATTATTGCTGTTTACAGTTTATATCTATCTATAATAATATTCAAAATAATAACATAAAACTGCAAACTTTCGTTAAAACTACCAATTCAGTGGCAGCAACCCAACAATAGGTTGATCGATTCGTCTGAAAATTTCAGGGCTGATAGATCTTGACAAATTGAACAATTTTACCCCCTTGTCAGATTTGCTGTAGAAGCTTTAGTTTTTGAGATATAAGCCAAAAACTGCATTTGACCTATATGTTCTATTTTTAGCCATGGCAGCCATGTGTGTCCATGGATCAAAACTTCAGATACAATTCATAAACTAGATACCCTAAAGAACATTAAGTTAAAGTTTGAAGGTATTTGGCCACATAGTTTCAGAGGAGAAGATTTTTAAATGTTTGCAAATTTGATAAACAAATCGGGTAAAATTGTCTTTTAAGGGCAATAACTCCTTAAGGGGTCAATTGACAATTTTGGTCATATAACTTTTTTGTAGATCTTACTTTGCTGAACATTATTGCTGTTTACAGTTTATATCTATCTATAATAATATTCAAGATAATAACAAAAAACTGAAAAATTTCCTTAAAACTAACAATTTAGTGGCAGCAACCCAACAATGGGTTGTTCGATTCGTCTGAAAATTTCAGGGCTGATAGATCTTTACCAATTGAACAATTTTACTTCAAGATTGCTCTAAAAGCTTTAGTTTTTGAGATATAAGCCAAAAACTGCATTTGACCCCTATGTTCTATTTTTATCCATGGCGGCCATGTTTGTCTATGGATCAAAATTTCGAATACAATTTATAAACTAGATACCCTAAGGAACATTTAGTTAAAGTTTGAAGGTATTTGGCCATGTAGTTTCAGAGGAGAAGATTTTTTAAATAGTTTACGACGACAGATAACGACAGACGCCAAGTGAATGCATAAGCCCATAGGGCCCCTTGAGCTAAAAAGGAATGCTGTTAGCAGATACAAAACAGAAAAGGATAAACACTTGATTATTTTTAGCAAAAGATAAATCGGATCAGGGTCTGGTTATAGACATTATTTGTAAAACTCTCCTTATTCCTGGGAAGCGTTTGCTTTACATCAAGGCTTGCTTTGCTTTACATCGTTGCTACAGTAGTTCAACCAATCAGGGAATGTTTATTTGGGGCATGTGACCTATTTTAACTGCAGGTTTTGGCACATTTTAGTTCGAAATTATAGAAAAATGGAATGTGGATAGTACATACAAAGTAGAAAATGATGAATACTTTTAGCAAAAGATGAATTGGATCGGGGTTCTGTCTGTATGCACAGTATTAGTACAACTCTCATTACTGATGCCATATTTTGGAATTTCTGTGACCTAAATGGTTAACGAAAATTAATATTTTTATATATAGTATAGTAAAAAAGGAAAAAACTCTCCTTTATGATCAACGTACCGTCGTAATAAAAATGAAGCAGGACAGATGGACGCACGAACAAACGGATGGACGCACAGACCAGAAAACATAATGCCCCTCTACTATCGTAGGTGGGGCATAAAAAATAAAATGCTCCGCTGGGTGCAGCTTGATACAACAGCAGAGGTCGAACCCTGAACAGTTGGGGCAAGTATAGACACATTACATTCAAGCTTCATACAGCACTGAATTTGGATTGTGATTAAATATTTGACACAGCATAGGTTTCTGACACAGAATGAATGTGGTCTAAGGATTTAAAAATTTTTAATTTACCTATTCAAACCATATTATTATTATTTGCTTTTATATATAAATCGGAAATAACCAATTTAAAATGGAAAATTTTAACGAAAAAAAAAAGGAAAAAAATTTTTTTTGAACCCCCTTATGATTGATCACCCCCAAACTCAATCCCAGCCTTCCCTTTGTGGTATGGAACCTTGCAGTACAATTTCAGAGAGATCCATACACTTGAACACAAGTTATTGTCTGGAAACTAGAAAAATGCTTGTTTTTAGGCCCCTTTTTGGCCCCAAATTCCTAAACGTTTAGGGCAATTACCCCCAAACTCAAACCCAGCTTTCCCTTTGTGATATGGAACCTTATAGTACAATTTCATAAAGATCCATACACTTACACACAAGTTATTGTCCTGAAATTTAGAAAAATGCTTGTTTTTTGCCCCTTTTTGGCCCCTAATTCCTAAAATTTTGAGC